AGGGCACACCATCACACCCTCCAAGCTGGAGGCTCATCTGAGGTTTAAATGAAAATCAAGCTTTCAGCATATGCAATGGTCTCTTCATCCTCAAAGGAAAAAATCTCTGGTCAGTCTCAGCGTGGGCTTTTCAGCTGCATCTAGTGCTGGTTTTGTGGTCCTAGAAGTCGTCTCGATCTCTGCTGTGTGACAAAGGAGAGGTGACTCTGTACCTGCCTCCAGGGAGCCTGGCACCGAGCTTCTGTGCCTCGGCGCGCTTAAACGAAGGTGCACGCAGTGGCGGGGCACAGGGCAGGAGAATACCTCGTGTTTCAGATCCCAAAAGACAATTCCAGCAATCCCCTGGGAGATCCAGAGATCTCCTGGGATGATACATGCTCTTGTATCATCATAAGGGCACAGGGAGAGGGAAAACCATTTGGCTTTTCGTTGGCCATTGTACCTGGCATGCTCTAGGGAGAAGAATGTACAAAGCCAAACGTGAGCAAAGGTTTTCTTGCCTGCATGGGGGGGAGGGTTTGGCTTTGTTTTGCTCTTGTTGCTAACAACGTCAGATGGATCTGACTTTCCAGTCTGCTCAGGATGAGACAAACAGCCAAGGAAGCATCAAAGTGAACGGGTGTTTTTTGATCAACATTGGAGAGAGTTTGTTTTCTTTCTCCTACTTGCCCAATGACACACTGACTTGGATGACTGGTCTGTGACAGAGCCGGTTGGAAAATGTCAGTGGAAAAATGCAGAAAAAGAGCAAATATTTTTACAAATGTTAGGGACAATATTTTTACCTTTGGTCAATCCAAACGAACATGAATGTTTTTTCAGGACAAACTGTTCAAAACTCACCATTGCCTGTGCCAAAATGTATGCGAAGGGTGAATATGCACGAACACTCATTTTAAAAAGTGTTCCTGTGGTGAATATGATGCAGTAAAATTGCATCTAATCTTGTAGCTGGAACATCTGTATAATTAGCAAGATTCCTCACCTCTTCCAGCCAATGGTTCATGTACACGCCTGCCCTTTGCATACATTTTTTCCTTTAGGAATAACAATTTGTGAAGGAGACAGCTTGCAGAAACACTTGCTGCTCCACACGTAACTATTCCCAGTTGGGTACCTTGCAGTCCTCTCTAGACATAGTTTTAATAAGCCTGTGGACGTATCGTCTTAAAACTAAGGTAATAAATGTCATCCTAACTCTGTCAGTAAGATTCCTAGTGGGCACCTACCTCACTCGTCAGGAACTGAAGGAGAAATTCCCTGGCATCTGATGATGAAGGGCACTTACTCCAAGAACAGGTTTCTGGCAATTCCCTAATGCCCTGGCACCTCTTCATCTGCCAACACATCGCTTGTTTCTGCTCTTGGGAGCAAAAAGTCATCCCTGCAGGCTTGTACCTATATAAGCTACTCAAGAAATACAGCAAAGAGAGGCTTCTATCTTTGGAAGGGCCTAAGATGGAACAAACTTCAGTGCTTGTAGTAAGCAGGACATCTAACAGGTGTGACATCTAACAGGTCCTATACACATTTGCAGCTTGTTGCCTTCTCCTTTAAGAAAGCCTGGTTAAAATGTATCATTTGAATTATCATTATTTGATAAAAATAGACTAATATTAGCATAGTGCCCAAACCCTGCAAATAACCATGTCACTAGAAATGCCAAGAGAACCACGAGTTTTGACTCATAAAGCTGGAATTTCAGATATGGAAGAAAACACATGTATTTAAACACTTCTACCATACAGCAAAGCTGGTAGAAATTCTCACCATTTAAAATGTTGATAAGGTTTCCTGTCACATTTTAACGGATCAAAACATGCAAAACATGTTTTTCTGTGTTTTTATTAGCTCTTGTGAAATATAAAGCCAGAGTCCTGATTACACTATTTTTTATTACCCTTTTGGACTTCCCCCTCTTTAAATCCCTAGTGTTTCTCTTTTCATAAACCTAAATTAAGGCTGTAGTATTATTACCTCCTATTTAGTAGTCCTAGAGAGTAACTTCTGACTAGCATGTGACTGTAAATACTTTTCATGTAAATAAACGCAGTCTCACTTTTGGTAGGATTTGTACGTAAAAGAAATATGTGCAAATGAAACTAAGTGCCTTTGATAAATGGTTTGAGATTGCTGATTAATTGGAACTAAAAACAGATGAGAAAATTGAACATATGTTCTTATTCAAGTTCCCTGGAGTATTTGTGAGGGAGCTTGGCATACATTAATAATTGCTCGGAATGGATTTAATAGCTCATCTTGTAGTTTTGCACACACAAAACAATCAGTCAATATAAAACGCATGGTGTCATCTGTCTTTGTTAATTAGGGATCTTGAACGCCTTTGGTAATAAAGGCTAGTAATTAAGCTATAATTAGAAAGGAAGCATTAGGATGTGGTTTCGCCTCCTCAGGATCCATAAACGGCAGGAGGAAGAGGGTAGGTCTTCCAGAAATCTTGAAATACTCTGAGTTTATGACCTTTTCCTGCACCAGCACATAGCCAGGCTTGTTGGCTCCTCAGCTACTGAGTGCTCCCAGCGACAAGAGTGAGGATGCTGGGGATGCTCCTCGGGACATGCGGAGGCTCACGGGGCACCTTTGCCCTGTGCCCTCGGTGGCTGACCGGACACTAGCTACGTGCCCACTGCACTTGCATTGACTGAGATTTCTCTGTACGACCCTAATGCCCAAGCCCAGCTCTTCAGACACATTTGCTGATGGCACCAGTGTTTCTAAAAGCATTGGATGTAACTCTTAGAAGGAATGTACTGTGCTTATGCTTTCATCAGGATTTCCCTGTGGGTCACTCACCTTCCTGGGTGCTCCTGGAGTACCTGGTAGACACTAATCTGAAACGTTTCATTATCGAAGCGTTCGCGGATGTAATCCTTGTATATTCTGAACTCGGCAGCCGTCACTGCTTCCCCCTCTGGGATTCTGGAGAGATCAAACCTGAACTCTCGGTAGTGGCAGCGCTGATGGTGAAACTCTCTGTCATGCTCCACTGAAACAGAAAAACAGCCCATTAGCCACCTGCTTTGTTCCCCTTCCCCTCGCCATCAAACAAGCTTGCGAGTTGCCACAACAGAAAAGGGCAAGAATATCTGATTGCAGCATCTCATGCTGCTGTTCGGTTCACTAAAGCGCGTAGGAAATACATGACCTATCTGGGCTATTATAAGCATATATGTGTTTATCAGACTCTCTTTGAAACAGTTTTACAGCTGGCGGGTACAGGGTGTGGGTGACCGTTGTGTTTTAATGATTTTTGGCAGCTTTGTGCTTGACAAGTGACTCTGGACATTTGCCACCGATAACGACCAAGCTGCTGTGGGAAGGAGCTGAAAGAAACAGATGGGGCTTTTCAGGAGTGCTGGTTCTTGGCCCGACTTTGCTTCTGAAAACTACACACGCAAACACGCACGCATACCCGCACACGTATATACACAAATTCCAGTCCTTGAGGCTTTTCATGTCAGTGACCCACATTCAGTGCCAGCTGAATTCATCACAAACTCCCAGCCCGGGTCCGAAGGGCCAAAGCTTTCATTTTAAAGCATCTTTAGCAAGCAGGGCTGTGAAGCAAATGTTCAAAACAAGGACCTTCTTCCAACTCTCAACCCAGACCATGAAATAACAGTGCCAGGGTTCTCCCAAGACAGGATTAGGATGGTACGTTATCCTACTGAGTGACAGGTCTGCCTGTCCTCTGATGGACAGCTGATGGTCTTGTGTAACACTGCTTGTGCATATTGAAGCTGAGGGTCACTGATGTGAGGAAACAAAGATTTCGAGACTGTCCTCCAGCAAGAGGGAGGAGAGGTGTCAGTGCCCCAGCCCAGCACATGAAATGCAGTGCCCTTCTTGGAACAAATTCCAAATTAAATAGACAAGTTGGACAAAGGGAAATGGGGAAACAGAGGTATAAGGGTGAACTGACTTGCCAGAGGTCACACTGCATGTCATTTTAAGAGCTGAGGTTTGAACCAGGGACTTCCCATACGTCCCAGCCCCGTCGTCTGTCCACTTGACCTCCCTGCAGCTCAACTGCACAATTCAAGTAGTTAGCTCTGAGATTTTCTTGGCAAAGAATGTGTGTCTTTCTACAGGCCTGATTCTCTTCTGGCAGCAGTAAATCCATTGTGTAAATCCATTGACTTAAATGGAATTACTCCTGAAAAAGAAGAGTTTCAAGCCTGAGTCTGAAAAGTGCTATTTAAATTTACGGCGCTTCACGGCACAATTGCGTATCGGCACCCACGAGGGCCTCCCCTGCGGCAGGGACGGAGCACAGAGAGCGTCCGGGAACCGGGCTGTGGCCAAGCACTTACACGGAGCAGGTTCAGCGCTGCTTTGCTGGCTGAGATTCAGCAGCTGGCCACGGGCTCTTCCTCCTCTCACACATTACTTCTGCAAGGAGTCCAGGGCTCACAGTTTGCCACTGTATGGCTGCTGTTCAGGGAAATACTTCAGAGCTCTTACTGATAGCTGGGATTCATCTTAGTGGAGTTTTTTAGGTAACCCCTAAACTTTCCAAGATAAAGACGATTAAGTTCAGCAAATGGTTTTATAGGTTGGGCAGTCCTAGCACGCACTGAGTGAACAAAGATATAGTTGCATCTCTGGCTGTAACATCTCATACAGCCTCAGGAATACCACGGAGTCTCTCGTACCCTGAAGTGGGGGTATATTGTGAATATTCACCAGTGTTTGTAAAACACTTGGCAGGCTAAAACTGCCCTATAACTGCTAGCAACACTATTAAGTGTGCCTCAATCCCTTTCCTCCAAAGTATTCTCAGCAGAATAAGATATAAAGAGTGTGATTTCAGTCTCAAAGGAATTTGTCTACGCCTAAATTACAGAGAGAAGGAAAAAATATTTTAACACAGAATAGCTCCTTTAACCACAACTATAGAAGAATGAATATAATGTTGCATGGTTCTAGTTATATTACAGATAAAACCACCAGCAGGGTGTATTATAGAGAGGTCCAGCAGTAAGATTTACCAATATAATTTTCTTCCAAAGACATGTGAAGGCTGAATTTTCAAAGGAAGGTGGGTGCATCTTTTCAGTGTACACATGTGATGGCAACTACATCAGCCAACACTGATCTGTGGCTGCACTCCATAGCTACTTGAGGATATGGTTTAATGGGGATTAGGGATGGTTGGACTCGATGATCTCTAAGGTCTTTTCCAACCTAGAAATCTATGAATCTATGAATCCATACACAAAGCCTGACAACAAACACGCAAAGATAAAACTTTTTTGGGTGCTGCTATTGTTCAGTGATTCCCACTGCAGAGCCCTAGGAAAAATGTGTCATATTAGTATGAAAAATTAATGGCCAGGGTCATAAAATAAAAAGCTCCAAAGTTTGAACTTTCCCATGCTTTGCAGATGTTTGGGTATAGGGTTTTGGGCTGAGCCATCTTTAGTGTTAAAGCAAACATTCCTGTGGCTATAGTCATTAAGATCATGAAAATATGTGGATATGTAACTGAAGAAAGAATCCCAAGAAACCCTTCAACTCAGTGTTTATTGTTTTTCCCCTTTTTCTTTGCACTCTGGACCTATCTGCTGACCCAGAAGTAACAAATCCTTTCAGAACTAATTTATGAGAAACACTGACCCTGAATCAACATCTGTTAGATGACTGCAGTAAATCTTATTACATAATTAAACACCCAAATCTATGTTAAAATAACGTTAAGGGTCTGACTCGAACTCATAAAAGCAAGGCTCTTCGTTATGAAGGCTGAAATCATATCCTTACTTCATGCTGCTGTGCGTTGGTATTTGTGAACATATGGTATGGTAGATACTATTGTGCGCTTTTTGCAGACCCCAGTAGTACCTTGAGCACAACAGCACGAGGTAAGCAGGGGAGCACTCAAAAAGTCTGAGTCTCCTGGGTTTGATGGGTGCTAGTCAGACCCTTGACAATACTACAGCCGGGTCATTTCCAATTAATTACCTGAGGATGGTATGTTAAATGTTCACCAAAACGGTCAAAAGAATTGCTACAGTTCTTCCAAACCAGGCTGTGGTTTCTCCATGAGATCTATAAACCCCGTGATCCCTATAGACAGGACATACCATAATGAGAACTTTTTGGTCATTCTTGAAGGACTTAATCTCAGCTGTTTGTCAGCCGTTACGTGTTAAATGCTTCCTTAAAAGTCATCAAGCAATATGAACACTTGCTGGGTATAGCCTTTCTGCCCAAAGAACTTGAAGTCATGTTTGTCCCAGATTCATAGCTCTTACAAATCACTATTACCCAAGTGCTTTTGGTGAATGGTTTTAGCCCAGTTCCTAATTTCAAACATTGGAAATTCCAGCTCAGAAACTGTCACAATTCAAATGCCTTGGCAAGGCAGCTGCTTGGAGAGGAAGCCAAAGCTCTGGATGTGCAATCAAAGGTTGTAAAATACGAAAAGGAAGAACACCCTTGAAAAATAATTCTGCTATGAAACAGCCTGTGTGCCTTAGCTGTGGGAAAACAGTGGATTTCCTCTCTTAAAGAAACAATCCAAAGCCACTCACAGGTGATGCACGTGTAAATGCATGTCTCTCTCCATTTCTGGAAGTGGTATCAAATCTTGGAGGCACAACCGCTGAAGGCAAATTATGACCTAATTTAACACACGGCTCAAAATCTGCTGGTGCAAAATAACTCTTGGACACGGTGAGTGTGGCAGTTAATTGTAGCTACAGTAGGTGGGGATCATCAGACACTCCCTTTGGCATAGTCCTTAGGGAAAGGAAAGATTGAGACGATGGGACTCGAGAGCTGTAGCATGGAGGCAGCCAGCAGATTCATGAGAAAATAAGCAAGATGCCAAAAAGCGTGCAGGACAATTAAGGTGATCCGACCAAAACAAGCACGTATCTTAAATTAGTGGTTATCAGTCAATTTGCCACACCTCAGTTGCACATATGCAAGTAAGCTCAGCATCTTTGAAAGTCTGGCCTTGACTATCTGTCTACAATCTGAATGCTGCACAGACGGTCTATCTGATGCAGATAGGGCTCTGATCTCTCTGAAGTCCTTTGTCTCTCCAAACCGCCTCTGTTGAGCATTGCAATGACGCAAGAGGAGGCAGGACAGCATAGTTGTGCAACGACAGGGATGGTTAAAAGAAAACACGATGGATACATGTGCTCGGGTGTGAAGTAGCCAGGTATCAGATCCAAAAATACGGGAAAGCTGGAGATAAAATGTCAACAAAACCCTGCTACTTGTTTTCACATGTCCTGAAGTGTACTCTTTTCAGATACAAAATTTGCAAACATTAAGATGCAGAGATGAAAAAGTATAGTTGTGCACATCTAAAGCTCATACCAATACAGCTGAAACCAGTACCAAAAACCTAAGGCTCGTGATCCTGGTTTAACACCTCAGGGCACCCAAACTTCTAAAGCAAATGACACATCAGCAGAAAGCTGGGAAACTTGAACCGATCCCTCCTTTGGTCGTTTTCACAACAAAACATGTTGACACTAGAAATAAGAACCCCAACTATTTTCAGCTACTTTGTAAATCACTACTGGTAAGAGAAAAGCCGACCTGAGCTGATTCTGTAAATGCTGGTTGGACCACTGGTTTTGTAATTCGGATTGATGGTAGGTAAGGCATGACACGTGACAGCAAAGATTATGCTGAGACATAGCTTGCAGTAGTTATTATTTCTCTCTACACATACCAAAGAAACCATTCCGTTTCAGCCTTAGTACTGAGCACAGTAGCACAATGTCAATCACTAATTCCATCTGTCAAGCAAAGAACCAGTGAATCACAGCAATAATTTTCCAAGAATGACTGTGTTACAAAATAATTACCACAGAAGTGTTAAAGAGCTAATCCAAACCCCAGGGAAGTCAACAGAAATATTTCCACTAATTTCAATGGGAGCCCTGACTTTTGCCAATCTACCTACCTAAGTATTTTTATGCTCTGGTTTTCTGAAGATGTAAAAAAAAAATCTCTTTTTCACAAGCAAACACCAGATGAATAGATTCTGTGCTCAGGTTGCCAAAC